ATGCGTTCGCTGTTGGAGGCCGTATCTTACCTTCATAATAATAACATTGTGCATCGTGACCTCAAACCAGAGAACATACTGATGGATGATTGTCTCAACATAAAGCTCTCCGATTTTGGTTTCAGTTGTGTTTTGAATCCCCCAGATAAACTGCGAGGTGCTATTTCTGCTTCCCAGCCAATTCCTTCCTTGGTGGCCTTTGTAGTTCTATTCCATATTCAATGCATTCCATGCTTATATCGCTGGGTCTCCCGTTCCTTCCTGTCATTATATGTTTGGCTCCTTTTTCTCTTTTCCTCTGTTCTTTCTGATCACACATTCCTTGGTGCTCTCTCCATTTGCCATTTTTTATTGTTTTGTGATTTTCTTTTTCTTTGTATTTCAGAGCTTTGTGGAACACCCGGTTATTTGGCTCCAGAGATCCTAAAATGTTCAATGGATGAGACACACTCAGGATATGGCAGAGAAGTTGATCTGTAAGTTGGAGAGACAACCTGGACCCAGATCTAAAAGTGAATGTAGACGATCAGTACCGGGATGGAGAGACAGACAGCCCGGCAGCTGTACCGGGGGAGAGGGAGAGACAGACAGCCCGGCAGCTGTACCGGGGGAGAGGGAGAGACAGACAGCCCGGCAGCTGTACCGGGGGAGAGGGAGAGACAGACAGCCCGGCAGCTGTACCGGGGGAGAGGGAGAGACAGACAGCCCGGCAGCTGTACCGGGATGGGGGAGGGACAGACAGCCCGGCAGCTGTACCGGGATGGGGGAGGGACAGACAGCCCGGCAGCTGTACCGGGATGGGGGAGGGACAGACAGCCCGGCAGCTGTACCGGGATGGGGGAGGGACAGACAGCCCGGCAGCTGTACCGGGATGGGGGAGGGACAGACAGCCCGGCAGCTGTACCGGGATGGGGGAGGGACAGACAGCCCGGCAGCTGTACCGGGATGGGGGAGGGACAGACAGCCCGGCAGCTGTACCGGGATGGGGGAGGGACAGACAGCCCGGCAGCTGTACCGGGATGGGGGAGGGACAGACAGCCCGGCAGGTGTACCGGGATGGGGGAGAGGGAGACAGCCCGGCAGGTGTACCGGGATGGGGGAGAGGGAGACAGCCCGGCAGGTGTACCGGGATGGGGGAGAGGGAGACAGCCCGGCAGGTGTACCGGGATGGGGGAGAGGGAGACAGCCCGGCAGGTGTACCGGGATGGGGGAGAGGGAGTACAGCCCGCAGTAGCTGTACCGGAGAGGGAGCCCGGATGTGGGGAGAGAGGGAGCCTGGCAACTGTACCGTAGAGGGGGGAGGGGAGGGGAGAGAGAGGGAGCCCGGGGAGAGGAGGGGTGGGAGAAAGCCTGCGCAGCAGCCGCACCCGGGGCGGGGAGAGGGAGCCCGAGAGGAGGAGAGAGGGAGCCCGAGAGGGGGGAGGGAGCCTGGGCAGCTGTACCCGAGAGGAGAGGCAAACGCAGCACCCGGTGGGGAGAGAGAGGAGGGGGAGAAAGCCAGCCAGTTCTAATGGGAGGTAGAGGAGATGGTGTTCATTGTGGGTGCATGTATGACTATCCGTCTCTTGATCCATCCCTTAGGTGGGCCTGTGGAGTGATCATGTTCACACTTCTTGCCGGTTCTCCCCCTTTCTGGCACCGCAGGCAGATGTTAATGCTGCGCATGATCATGGATGGACGTTTCCAGTTTACTTCTCCAGAGTGGGATGATCGCTCCGCAACCTCTAAAGATTTGGTAACAAGCCTTTCATATCTTCATATGGTGCTTTTTATTTTTTACCTTGTACAACTAAAGTGGTTTTTTTTTAATTTTTTTTAATCATTTTATATATGTTTTTGCTGTGCTTGGCTTATACAGACAATCTTGCAGTGCCCCAAGAACAAATGCCAGCATATTAGAATACTTAGTTACATAGTAAGATAGTTGCATGGCAAACGATGATATAGCACATTTTTATGATAAGGATAACCTTCTTAGTGACCATGTCAAACAAAATATAACACCCCAGTCAGCTCCGCAAATAAAATAAAATGTCCAGAAAATGATCGGACTTAGGATTTAGATGAACATTAAAAAAAATCAAAGAATGCTCTCCGTGAAAGTGGAGCGAGATGGGCAGTATCAAAAAGGGAAACCGGAATAATTAATCACAGCCAGGGTAGTTTGAACGGGGAATTCGGCCTATGCTGCCAACGGCAGGATTTGGGCCCTCAATCTGGTGCAGTTCAGCAAGCCTTTTAACATCGGTGGTGTTGGTGCATTCATTTGGTGGTAGGCTAGCTGCTCTCCCCTCCTTGCTTCAGCTCGTTGTGCGAGACCTGCCTTGTGTGTGCTCTGCTTATACCCATTTCTCCGCGAGGTCGTCCAAAGCGGGCCTTGCCGTTGTTGGCATGCTCTGTGTGGGGCTTGAATCTGGTTCTGATGCCGTCCGTGCTTAGTCTCAGGTGGGTGAGCTAGCATTTGTTGCCTGAGTCTCCGCTTACTCCAGAAATGTTCAAATATTATGTCCAGTTTGGACACCGCTCCAGACACTGTGAATTGGTACTGAAGGGGGCACGTGGCATCTTCCATTTTGAGTGTACTTGTAGTGATGGTGTTGCTGATTGTGGCTTCACCACCCTTCCCTGTTGGATTCGGGGTGCCGTCAGGGTATGGACAGGGATCAAAGGGTGAGAGGGGAGCAGCCGGGCTGCAGGTCAGCATGCATCGGGCCTGGAGATCGGTCACTTCTCCCCTCCACTACTCCCACTAGGCCTCGCTCACAGGCAGTAGAAGTCTCCAGCCTGATAACGTCCCTGAGCTGGTCAATCCGTACTGGAAGCCAGGGAGGATCAAGCAGTATGGTAGGAAAAAAAATCATAGGCAGCTGGACATAATTGTGTGTTTCGTGAGGAGATTTCATAGAACACGTTCAGTCGACTTTGCAGTCAGGTCCTGTCCCCCGTACAACGACAGTGTTTGTTTGTTTTTTAGCTGTTTTTAAAAACATGTGATTTGTGAATATCATGTATTACATTGTGTCTGTGAATCTCCTTCTTCTCAAACACCTTTAAACCAAAGCTGAAGACAAGCATGCTTCCCTCTGTGTATGTTGGCAGATTTTATTCTTTGTCAGTTTGTGACATGTTTGCCATACACCCTGTTCCAAATTATTATGCAAATTCTAGTTAAGTGTCAGAAAGATTAAATATTTAGTTTTTCAGTTTAACCCATGGATGGCATTGTGTCTCAGGGCTCTTTTGATCACTGAAAACAATCTCGGACACCTGTGATAATTAGATTGCGAGGTGAGCCCAATTTAAGGAAAAACTACTAAAGGAGGGTGTTCCACATTATTAAGCAGAGCACCATTTTCATGCAATATTGGGAAGAAAAAGGATCACTCTGCTGCCGAAAAGAGGGAAATAGTTCAATGCCTTGGACGAGGTATGAAAACATTAGATATTTCACGAAAACTTAAGCGTGATAATCGCACTATTAAGAGATTTGTGGCTGATTCAGAGTCCTGTTTCTTTTTATTGTATCTTAATCAAATTGTCTTGCCGTCGTTCTGTAAAAACCCATAAAGGACCACTATAGTGCCAGGAAAACATACTCGTTTTCCTGGCACTATAGTGCCCTGAGGGTGCCCCCACCCTCAGAGACCCCCTACCGCCCGGCTCTGGAAAGGGGTTAAAACTTACCTTTTTCCAGCGCTGGGTGGGGAGCTCTCCTCTTCCAATCCTCCTCCTCTCAGCCCATTCGGCTGAATGCGCACGCACGGCAAGAGCTGCACGCGCATTCAGCCGGTCGCAAAGGAAAGCATTTACAATGCTTTCCTATGGATGCTTGCATGCTCTCACTGTGATTTTCACGCAAGCGCCTCTAGCGGCTGTCAATGAGACAGCCGCTAGATGCTTTGGAGGAAGGCTTACCCATTCATAAACATAGCAGTTTCTCTGAAACTGCTATGTTTATAATAAAAAAAAAAAAAAAATGGGTTAACCCTAGCTGGACCTGGCACCCAGACCACTTCATTAAGCTGAAGTGGTCTGGGTGCCTAGAGTGGTCCTTTAATCTCCTTGTGATAGAATCTTCCTTATCTTTGGAACTGCACTCCCCTGTTGTCTGATCCTAATTAAAGGACCACTAATGTGCCAGGAAAACATACTTGTTTTCCTGGCACTATAGTGCCCAGAGGGGTCCCCCTCCTGCCGGGCTCTGAAGAGAGGAAGGGGTTAAAATCTTACCTTTCTCCAGGGCCGGGCCGGGAGCTTTCCTCCTCCTTCTTCCTAGCGACGTCATCGGCTGAATGCGCATGCGTGGCAGGAGCCGCGCGCGCATTCAGCCAGTTCATAGGAAAGCATTTACAATGCTTTCCCATGGACGCTGGCGTCTTCTCACTGAGACAGCCACTAGAGGCTGGATTAACCCTCAGTGTAAACATAGCAGGAAATCTGTACCCCTGGGCAGTGTTGCATGGTGGGCAACCATCTACTTGCCCTCCCCTTTTATACATTACAGACTGGATGCTCTAGCCTCTGAAGACTCTGCGTATGGGATTAAGGTCCTCCAGGTGCTGGTTAAACAGTGATTTTACTCACCGAAAACTCTTTTTTCTCTAGTCCAAATGTCAGCATTTGCTCCCTCCTTTTAAAACCATATTTTTGCATCTACTTGTTAGCACTGGGACATACAGGGGAGAAATACAACGGGTTGTTTTACTCTTGATCACATTTACGAAAAATGATTATTATTGGGGGTAGACCCAATCTATATTTTGAAGGTGTTTTTGTTTTTTTTCATTCCTTGAAGAAAAAGGAAGACTGTAAACTGCTTACATGTTTCAAAAAACCCACCACTCTGACAGTGACCGAAGAAAGCCATACTCAAGTTTTTTTTTTTTGTTTTTTTTTTTTTTAAATACCATGGCAGCGACATGATTGGGGGGGGGGCTGAGGAAAGTGACAGAAAAGGTTCAGTAAGGAATATCTTGTCTTTCAAGCTTGGGGTGAAGACTAGAATTTGTTTTATCTTAGATTTCCCGTCTACTGGAGGTTTGTCCTGCGAAGCGACTCACAGCAGAGCAAGCATTACAGCATGCGTTCTTTCAGAGCCACCAGCGAGAGCAAGGCATCACTGTCCGTCCACGGCAGCGCTTTCGGGTAAGTGTCCTTCCCAACAGCTAGTCCCGCTCCTACCCATCTTTATTGCTGCATTGTAGTGTATTTGCCTTTTTACAGGTTGCTGCGTTGGCGGCCCTGGCCTGTGTTCGCATTTTGATAAGATGGCGTCAAGCAAGACCCGTTACCAGTCTGCTCCTCGCACATGACCCCTATGGAGTGAAAGGTGTCCGTAAATTGATCGACGCCTGTGCTTTCCGCATTTATGGTCACTGGGTGAAAAAGGGAGAAAGGCAGAACAGGGCTGCTCTCTTTCAGAACCAACCCAAGGCGCTCCTGCTCACATTTGGGGAGGATGATGAGCGGGAGGGAGAGCTCTGAGGTTTGTAGAACATCCAAGAACTTTGAGGAGTGGTAGGTCCAATGTGTATTAACCTCTCATAAAGAGTGTGGATCTGCGTGACACACGGGAGAAGTTCTACCTTATTGGACTAGTACTAAAGACCACACAGTGGGGTAAAACTAGACCTCTATCCAAACCAGAACTTGCATCTCTTCCTGATCAGGGAAGGGACTGACAACAATGGCATTGGGTGTTTGATCAATGTGAACCCTACTACCATGAGGTATGAGATCACATTCCACTGTATAGCGTTTTTACATGTACCACGGCAATCGCTGCTTAGGTTGTGAAGAACCCCAAGGCACCAGGGAAAGTACTATGTGTCGAGAATACAAGAATGTCAAGGACTGGTATCACCTGCTGTTGTTTCTAGTTAGCAGGTTAATTCCTTATTTTTTTTCCCCTCTTCCTTTCTGTGAAATAAATAATAGTAACTTTGCCTCCTGTGTGCTCTTTCACCCATCTAAGTAGGTGGGATTCATTTTATGGGTTGTGCTATAAATACAAAATGCTTAGTCATAAAACGTTGACCCATCATAAGAATTATAGTCTATAACAGCAGGTGAGCTGTGGAAGGTAGTAGTCTGGGTGTTGCGGTGATGTTCTTTGTGCATGGGCCTGGCCCCTGTGCTTGTACTCCTAGATCTAGAGAACCATCCGATGAGCACCCAGGACACATGACCCTTTCCTGTTCCGTGCCTCAGCAACTGAAAATAGCAAGCAGGACAAGACTGATGCTGGAGTTGGATTTAATGACTGATCATATGTAAGAGGATTGGCTTCTTGGGAGCCAAACTTGTTGTCTTAAACTAGAAGTGAAAACAGCAAGCACTGCCCCGATTGAAACAGTTTATTCACTTTTCTTGTGGTGCCCTGTCACTTCTAAATGTCCTTTATTTCATTCTTACTTTATGGCAGCTTACTCCATGGGGATCGTCACCACTCCGTCTACCCTGCGGGGAGATAGAAGGAAAACGCTGACAGGGCGCTCACTGTATACAATCAGCGCACCGTGTAATCTGCGGGGGGAGATAGAAGGAAAACGCTGACAGGGCACTCACTGTATACAATCAGCGCACCCTGTACGCTGCGGGGAGAGAGAAGGAAAACGCTGACAGGGCGCTCACTGTATACAATCAGCTCACCGTGTACCCTGCGGGGAGAGAGAAGGAAAACGCTGACAGGGCGCTCACTGTATACAATCAGCGCACCGTGTACCCTGCGGGGGGGAGAGAGAAGGAAAACGCGGACAGGGCGCTCACTGTATACAATCAGCGCACCGTGTACCCTGCGGGGAGAGAGAAGGAAAACGCGGACAGGGCGCTCACTGTATACAATCAGCTCACCGTGTACCCTGCGGGGAGATAGAAGGAAAACGCTGACTGGACGCTCACTGTATACAATCAGCTCTCAGTGTACCCTGCGGGAAGATAGAAGGAAACACTGACAGGGCGCTCACTGTATAAAATTTTTTTCTTAACTTATGTTTTCTGCCTCTCTAAATTTAAGTGTTTGTTTAGATTTATTTTTCTCTCAGAATTTAGGCAGAAAGGAGCAGACACGTCTTAGATAATTTTGAAGAGACACTATAATAAATACACAACGAGACTAAATGTGCTATATATAGTCTCTGTATCTCCCTTTTCCTCCATGCTGAAAGCGAGCTGCAAAGGTCAGTTTTTAACAATGACTGACAGCTGGATATGATTGAGGTGCCCAGATCAACATAGAACTGTGGGTTTCTACATTTAATTTTATTGTTCACACCCCACAAACGTGTTAAATATAGGGAAAAAATTAATAACGTAGAAATTATAGCAGACCTCCCTGCGGTCTTTTAACAGACTGCTATGCATCAAACATGTCCTGGTCCCGTCTTATTCCTGGTTCAGGGATACTGTTATATGAAATGTCGAGATCCAGCCGCACCTGTAAAACCAGCCACAGTTACCCATCGTTAAACCAACAGGAATATCCATACAATTCCTGGTGTACACACAATCATTCATTCCTTGTATATTAAGTGTATAGTTTAAATCTATTCTAGAACACATTATTAGGCGCTCTCCGACTCCAACACTTCCAAAAGAGAGGTTTGAAGTTCCCTGAGCTAAAGTGGTCTGTTTACAAAAGTGGGTGCTAGGCCACTAATGGCACTATAACCATTTCAGCACACTGTAGTGATTGTGGTGCATGGAGAGAAACTAACAGGTCTGCAGACTTACCTGTGGTGTGAAGACATATTTGTAGAGTTTAAAATGGCGAAAATATGTATTTAGAAAGTATCCTGAAATGTGCTCGATCTGCTGCTGTGTAAAGAGATTCACACTAAACGGGGGTCGCTGTGGAAGTACAATGAAAGAAAAAAAATAGTAACTTGACAGGTTTGGCATACCAAAACTACACAAAATCATGAGGGTATCACCAGACAACGCACCCAGACCGTGCCAAATCACCACGGCACAACAACCATTAAGTCTATAGGCCGGTTCTATAGCTTCCTTTCTATATTCTTTGTCAGCTCCGTGGTAGTGTAAAGCTGAAATAAGCTTTCTATAGTCATGGTGTACAAATACTGTGATTATGATGGTTTTACAATTGGTTTAGAAACTTTGCATTAAAAGTTATTTTTTTATACACTATGTGTCACATAGTCCTACGCAGACGCAATTCACACACACTTACATGGACTGCATGACAGCGCAGCAGCTCTTGAAAATGTCTGAAGCAGTCATCAGGATTTCCTACAGCACAGCCTACAGGAGAAACGCGTTAGCCTAATATGACTGTACAGGAGAAAGAGAGGAAGGAAGTGAGAGGTGTAGCAGAATGGACATCTGCAAGCTCATTTTTATCCCCTATATTGGCTGTATGTATCTCCCCTGTCACTTTGTGTGGTTCATCTTTGGCCGTTCAGGAGACATAATATGAACGGATTCCATTTGTCTCCTGAACAAGGACCACCCCTGTGGCCCATTAGAATGTTGGCACCAACCACTTAAGTGTGAAACCACAATGGAAACCATTAATGAGTGCTTCCCCTGGGTGGCCACCGTTTCTTATTACCGAACACGTGGCTGAGAGAATGGCGGTAATCTTGTCTCCCGAACGAGGGCAGCTGTACTTGGTCGTCGAGTGCCTGGAACTATTTTCAGCTAGGCACTCGCGCGAACACCAGTAAACTGTCCACCGCTACCCGTTCCCGACCAACTACACGAACGGCGTTCGGGAGATATAAACTACCGAACAGAGCGAGCATTCGTACCCTGAAAGAGAGATTCCCTTGTATGGTTTTTGCATGGGAGACCCCCACGAACGGAGACCTGCCAAGACACATATTTCCCTGGAACTATTTTGGCTAGCATCTCGTGTCTAGCCACTCAAAACTTCCACACAATGGCATTCCTGTTCTACCAAACCGATGAGTGAAAATTAGATATGTTGGTCAGGTCGGGGGGATCAGGGAATGTACTTTTTGTGGGGTGCCCAGGTATGGTTGGGGGACTTTTGGGGTACAGGATATTTTGTGGATTTTTTGTGCATTAAAGATAATTAAATTAGGAGTTTACTCAGGCAATTATCTCTCGGGCACAGGGGATCTTGCGATTGAAAACCCTGCATGTGAAATCCCTTACATGGGACTGGGCATAAAAGCTGTGTATGTGTCAAAATTCAGTTATATCCCTAGAGCTGTGTGTCGTCCAGTTGCTGGGGAGTTAGTGGGAGACCCTTGAATTATTTTACTTGTTTCTGTTTGTATTTGGGAGTAACCAGCAGAGAAGAGTCCCTGTTAGGACTCCGCTATAAGGGGGAAAGAGAAGAATAATGTACAGATAATATACAGAGAGTGTCAATGAGCAGAGATAATATACAGAGAGTGTTAGTGAGTGCAGATAACATACATATAGTGTTAGTGAATGAGGACGATGACTCTCACCAGCACACGCAGAATGAGTATCTTTGACGATGGAGAACAAACACGAGGTTTGCTCTTTGCTGAACCTGCAGCGCTGGCAGAATCTCCATGTGTAGTAAAACAAGTCCAGGAGGATGGGGGCATGCCACTCCGATACACTGCCCTCAATACCCAGAATTTGTGACAGAGTCCTGTGGACAAACCAAGTGAACACTGGACAAGTGTTTATAAATAGGAGCAGGGAGGGGGGGGCTGGGGGAGACTAAGAGGTTACTTCACTTCTAAATAATAAACATAAAATCTTTACAAAAAATTTATATTGATTATCAAAACATCTCATAGGACATAGGACCCAGTCTTATATGTAAATTCCTAAATTGCAAAGGGCAGAGCTATGAGACTTAGCCTATACCCAGAGCCATCACTAAACAGGAAAAGGCTAAAGAGAAGCAGGCAGTCTGAGCCTATCAGGGAGTCTTCAGCGAAGCATTTCTCCGTTCAGTTTCTACTCTTGGGCACCGAACACTTAATGACATCAAGCAAAGACACAATTAGTAACAGACACTTAAGACTACATTGAAGGGATGGGTTTATAGCTCTTAATGTGAAGACAGGCACTGGTAAACTCCATGCAAGATGAATCTGGGAGAAAGTTCATGATGCTTGGAGTGTCCCATTAAAAATCACTACTAGTAACTGCAAAGAATAAAGTACTGCAGAACAGTGGATATAGTGTGAACTAAGCCCATACACAGCCATGAGGAGAACCATTTTGTATGCTGTATGGGAGAACGCTATCTCACTAGACACAGCTCAGGCCTGGTAAGGGTGTCGTACTACATTCATTGCATGGGGCACCTTTACAGCCTTGCTAAGGCTCTGGTGCACCGGGTAAATCTGGTAAACTAAGATTATTATTATTATTGCCATTTATATAGCGCCAACAGATTCCGTATCGCTTGCCGTAGCGTGGCAACCAGTGACAAAGGAAAACCTATTGTTTATATATAAATATTATTGGTACCTGTGAAATTCCTCTATGTGATTTGTTTTCTGTAGGACATCCAAATCCTGCACGGTCAAATCCCTCCTGAAAAAGAGCTCACATTGAGTGAGGAGCACACAGCATTGGGGGGGGGGAGAAATGGCTCACACTGTGAGGGCGGATTAAAAGCGCTGTGGAACGGTGGAAGCGGATTAAGAGTGCTGAGGGCTGGTGGAGGCGGATTAAGAGCAGATTAGGAGCGCAGACGGACGGTGGAAGCGGATTAAGAGCGCTGGGGGCGGATTAAGAGCAGATTAGGAGTGCTGATGGACGTTGGAAGCGGATTAAGAGCGCTGGGTGCGGATTAAGAGCAGATTAGGAGCGCTGAGGGACGGTGGCAGCGGATTAAGAGCGCTGAACGGTGGAAGCGGATTAAGAGCGCTGAGGGCTGGTGGAGGTGGATTAAGAGCAGATTAGGAGCGCAGAAGGACGGTGGAAGCGGATTAAGAGCAGATTAGGAGCGCTGAGGGACGGTGGAAGCGGATTAAGAGTGCTGAACGGTGGAAGCAGATTAAGAGCGCTGAGGAACGGTGGAGGCGGATTAAGAGCAGATTAAGAACGCAGAAGGACAGTGGAAGCGGATTAAGAGCGCTGGGGACGGATTAAGAGCAGATTAGGAGCGTTGAGGGACGGTGGAAGTGGATTAAGAGCGATGAGGGACATTGGGGGTGGATCAAGAGCAGATTAAGAGCGCTGAGGGACGGTGGAAGCGGATTAAGAGCGCTGAGGGCTGGTGGAGGCGGAATAAAAGCGCTGGGGGCGGATTAAGAGCAGATTAGGAGCGCTGAGGGATGGTGGAAGCGCATTAAGAGCGCTGAGGGACGTTGGGGCGGATTTAGAGCAGATTGGGAGCGCTGAGGGACGTTGGGGCGGATTAAGAGCAGATTGGGAGCGCTGAAGGACGGTTGAAGCGGATTAAGAGCGCTGAGGGACAGTGAAAGCGGATTAAGAACACAGTGGCCAGATACAGTAGACAGGCTTATTTATATTATTTACCAGAGGCAAACCTGAGACTTCTTCGTTAGCTAAAATGAAATAAAAGAATGAGATGGAATTAGTTATATCAGTCTCCACCAACCTCACACACACTAACCATCCCCGGGCCCCTCATACCTCACACACTGACCCCCCTGGGCACCCCATACTTCACACACTGACCCCCCCCGGGCCCCCCATACCTCACACACTGACCGC